AAATAAAATAAAATAAAATAAAATACCACAAACAGCAAGTTACTGTATGAATTATATCTGGTTTTTTAGCAGCCAACTCAGCAAGTATTTCTGAAGTATAACGATGCCTTTCCTGAGGCCACAGAATACAGCCAAAATTATAAATCTTCCTGGTCAACAGAAAATCAGTAGCCAATAATATTTAAGTCTAATTTTCTAACTAAAACCAACCTATTTTGTGGAGGTGGGGAGAGAGTGGTAGCTAAATATTTTTTAACACAGCTTACTTCATGAGGGAAATAATATTGATCAGTAAGATTTTAGCACAGTTCTGATGTGTTACTTCTCTATGCTGATTCTCATTTTTAAAAATGTATTTTATTGTATTAAAATACCTTTTATTTCTATGTTTTGGATACAACAGAACAACAATATTTGAGGTTCACTTTCAAAAACTCACATAACTTGGAAAAGACTATTGTTCTGTATATGATGAATATCAATATTTCACCTTATATCACCAACTTAATTACATTGCACTTCAATTTTATTTAGTAACTGTGCAATATATGGTTATAGGTCTGTGACTTCCTATTCAATATTATTAAGTAAATGTTTGCCTAAAAAATTCCAAAAGCTACTTTTCTTATCTACTTTTACTTGAATGATAAACACCAAAAAATGCTTAAAAATGGGGGGAGTATTTTCCATAATGTTGATCGTGTTCTTGCTCTACACAACTAGGTTTACACTACAGTGTTTTATTTTTATATATACATAGTTATATACCTAGATAATAAACCTTTTCCTAGTTAAAACTGGAGAGAAAATCAGTTTGTTCTCAATCAATTTTAAAAATTGCATAAATTATGAAACCTTTATTTCAGCTTCAGTCACATTTCATCATATTTTAAAGTTGATTTTATATAAGAGTTGCTACCATCACTATTGCTATAACTTTTCCTCATTTGGGATTTAAACAAAAATTGTTCCAGTCTTTTGATCCTAGAAAATACATACTAGGGATACAGAATAAATCAGTAACTTTGAAGATGTTTTGCAAAATGTCACTGAATTCGGAATCAATTTTAGGAGGAAACTCATATAGGCAATATTTTTGAGCCAATTTAGCAATAAAGAGAATGTTTTAATTATTTTAATTGAGATAACTTTTCATCTTCCAAGGGTTATATTTGGAGAGATTTAGTTATACTCCAGAATGATAATGTTAAAAATCACCAACTCAGCAGCCAAATGAAGCAAGAACTTTTAATAAGAGTAGTTAGGTAACTACAAGAATTTTATATGATTTGTAGGGGTCTGCATGCTTTTTCCTTCTTTGTGTTGCAGCAATTGAGGTTAAAAACCAAGCCCTCCAAAACCAAAGCCAAACTAGCAAAGCCTTCACTACTTACAGGTCTTGCAGCAGCCATCATTATATGTCTCCACAATTCCACCATTCTAGGAAAATAAAAGGAAAATGTAGCAAAAAAATGACTGTGCCCAATGCAAAGGTAAATTGTATCTCAAGACATTCCATGTTTTAAAGTTGTCCAACTAATAAATAGTAGTATCAATGAAATAAAGAGAATTACACAGATACATAGCAGCTGAAGCTTGGGTTCAGAAATTCTTTACAGACTTTGACATTGAAGATGAACTCATCACTTTTGACAAGTTCAGTCGTGTTCAGTTAACATCTGACCCATCATTGGGTTTCTATAAACCTATTTTTATAGCACCCACTACCATCTATTTCTGCACCACTGAGATTCGTGAGGATAGTTTAAAAACTTAATGTGTGCAACGTTACTGATTATGTAAAAGGGCTTAGACTGATCATATGCAAAGTAGGAAATGAATCCTAATAAGTAGCTCTTTACAATGTTAAATATACGTATACACACGGTTTTTGAAGAGAACATTAACTGCAGAGTGTGCTGAAGTCTTTTTCTCAGTTATAGTCTTTCCTATTGATTTCTGCTAAACTTGCTTGTTAGCTAGAAAGTAAAAATGTAGGAAAATGAAGAAAATGTCTTCTTGAAATTAAAAGAGAGCGTGAGAAGGAGAGAGACACAGAGAGAGGGGTTGTCAGATCTGGTCAGAATGGGTGCAAACAAGTACCAGAGTATGTAGCCCAGAACTGCATATCCAGCAGACAACAGAACATAAATAGCCCTCATATGATAACAATAGACAAAAGACATTTTTCCTTACATCTTTTCATGTAAGCAAGAATTTTTTATCTCATTACAGAAAAATTACTGGATAACCTTTTCAAGAATTTCTTAAATGAGTACTTAAACTCAGCCTCTTAAATCAATATTCCTGTATTATCCTGAACTGCCTGTCAGAAGAGCTTACTCCTCAGCTACTTGTTCAAGTCTATGCTCAGCATCTCTGAAAAACATGTCAGACTGATTCAGGAAATAAATTTTACAGCACACTTCTTTAAAATCTTAACCATTATTACTAAGGAAAATCCCAATAAATGGTGTCAAAATGCTTCCAATGAAGAAATTCATTCATAAATCAAAGCAGTACAGACATTAATTTTAGAAAAAATACCTGCATCAGGATTCTTAGAATAGGAACTTTTTTAAACAAATGCAATGGATAAGTAGGACTTGTGCAATAGTTATAATCTGTAGCCAAGGCAGCAATGGTACTTAACCCTCTCCACAGATATTATTATTTGTAGCTTATAGCTTATATTAGCTATATGATATACCGCTAGTGCAAAAATTGTAAGTATTCTAAAGATAAAGAACTATTAAATTAGAAATCAAGCTGTAAACAAATATGTACTGTGAAGAATATATGTTCTTCAAAGCAGTTTATATGGGTATGCCACATTTACATTTTTAGATATATCATATAGGTAGATACCTTTTCATGTATGACAGATATTTTTTGTTATATTATACAGATTTTAGTTTATTGGATAATAAATTTTGTATATACTCTGTCATCTTCCTAATCTTTGCAGAATTTAAGGAACTTTTAATATAGCTAACTTTTATATGCAGCATTTCTCAATTGCTTGATCTGATTTATTTAGTGTATGTGTACTATGAACTTGGCAAAATGTTATTCCAAACTAAAGACATAATGATTAGCACTTTATGTAGTGATATGTCAACCATGATTCCAATTCCACAATTTTTTAAAAGCAGTCATCAGTAAGACCCAATCCAAATTTTTATACTCTTCACAGTTGCTTTGTCAGTTGAAAATGACCGTAGGAAATGACTTGAAATTGCTCACTTACATGTTTTTACTTACCACTATTTTTTAATTTAAAGAAAATGCATGAGGTATGCATGCATTGTCAAGTGTAAGCCAAACTCCAGAGCAGTTATTGTCACTTACCTCACATAAAGTACAAACCTTTGTACACTCAGTGTCATTAAACGGGGGGCAGACAACACTAGATCCCAGTGTGATAGCCCCTGCAGCAGTCTTTGCACATTCGTAGTTGGTGCAGTTGGAGCTCCAGGTGCTTCCTTCCTGAACACAGAAAACAAAATCATTGTCAGGGTAACTGAAATATATCAGCTTTATCTCCAGCCTCAAATGTCTGTAAAAGTGGTGCCCTCATGGTGTAGTACCTACTGGAGTGGAAAGTCTGTTGCAAACCACGCAGGTGGCAAAGGGAATGACCATCCTCTAACTACTAGTGCCTACTCCTTCCTGCTGCCATGGCTTTACTCTCCAGCATGCTGCTCAGCATGGGTGTCCTAGTGCAGAATGCAAGGCCTCTGTGCCAGCTCAATAATTTTTTTTGCTCTGAAAGCAATGGGAAGTATGAATCAAGTCATAGCCACATCTAAATTTCTATGTAATGTATGTGAATGCTGGAACACACTGTCAAGATCCTGAATCCCAGTGCTTCATTTTACATTCTTCCTTTCTGTAGTAATCAGAACAAGAGTGGCCCTGAGAAGAAGGGAACATAAGGGTCTTAAGGTCCAGAACATATCCTAACACATCTAAATCACAGTATGACTTAGAGTTAAGTTTTTGAACCCTGCCCTGCACTTAGAGCATACCCAGCCTTAAGTAAATGATGGCATTTGCATATCTTTCTAGAAAATATCACAAGCAATAAAATGAAAGGTACTCACATAGTGAAAAATGGCAACTCTTTAAACAAAGACACTCTTTTTCTGTCATATACCATAAATATTCTCTAAGTTTGTAACCAGCAGTAAGGAGGTATGAAGCAAGACTGACAGCATGAGTTAAATAAGAAATGACTGTTAGACACTTATTTATTGTATCATAGTTATTTTCCATCTCTGTCCAGAGGCACTTACCTCATACAGAATTACTGTCCCATTCTCTGTATAAAAAGAGCAGGACACATTTTGACACGTACCACAACAAGTATCGTGACTGAAGGATGGAATATATATTTGATGCTGGAAAGAAAGGAAAGAAAAAAACAAACAAGTATTTTTTAAACACACAGTATATGGAAATTCTTTGATTTCTGAAGCTAAAAATGCCAAGAAAAACAATATATGATGGATGGATGGATGGATGGATGAATGGATGGATGGATGCTCAAATAGATATGTTTACATATGCTACTAGAAATTGCCTCTCAAAACAATCCTGTAGACACAAGATGCACATCATCACTGTTAAATTCCTAAGTCCTTGTTGAGTAAACTGGACAAGCAAAAGTTTTTACTAAAACTTTTATCCTATTTGTGTCATGGTGCTCACAAATTGCATTATTCCTGTATTTTAAGAATACTCACAACTTCACATTGCTGGGAACAGTTCATCATTATGAAATGCATGGCATTGTATCCTGTGTTCTGATCTTTTTCTTGTAAACACTGTACAGTGTAACAAAGATCTCCATCCAAGTACTGAATCACTGACTGTCCAGGATTCAGTAATGTGACCTCTTGGAAGATGCACACATCATCCTTTTCTAACACCAAAAGAAATAAATGTTACCAGAGGGAAAAAAAATCATAAAAATACTGCAAAACCGCCTAAAATTGATAGCGTTTCTAATACAGAAGTGAAAAAAAAGTCTGTTGTTCTTATTTTTAAAGAGTTCTAGTGTTTAACATTCAGCTATTCTGCATATCACAAAATGTAGCCTTTCTGTCAATTGAACTAGTATGTCTCCAATTACCTGTGGGACAGTAATCTGTTCAAGCTGTACTCTAAATGTGTGCTTTGGTCCTGAAGGCAATTCAGCCTGGGCTCCTGCCAGGACTGCAGCATACCTCAGGCACCCCCATTAACAGTGCACCTGAAATCTAGTCTACATAGGGTAGCTGAGTGAGGGAGTGGAGCAGAAGTCTGATCTTAAGACTGGCTACCTACCCTTATGCTAGCTGAACAGGTCTGTTGCTCTGGTGTGGGATGTTGTCTCATTTGGCTCAAAAGTGGTCTAGGGGCAGTCGCACTGCTCACACTCAGCTATGGCTCACAAGCTGCTTCCTATTTGCCTCTCAACAGAGAGACTGTACCTGACTCTGGAAGCATGGGCAGTTTTATGACACTCCCACAACCAGCCAGAACAGACAAAAAATGCATGGGTTACCAGAAAAAGCATCACATTCAGAAAAGAGAGCATAATTGCATAACTAAGTAGACAACCATCAAATCAAGATAAAAGAGCATTTATGGTTAAGATGGTTATTATGGTCCTGCTTTCTTTGCATGCCCTTTTTGAAAAAACTAAAACACAACAACAAGGAATATAAAAAGGTTACCACACATGTAGTGAGTGCATCCACAAGCACTGGAGACACTGCTATCTATTTTTTTAACTTCTCCCTGGGTATAAAAAGATAAAAATTTGCAAAGTCAAGCACAATTAAATGTAGTGCTAAACAGACAATTTTTCTCTAAAAATGTAAAATTTTACTTTCATCACTTCCACCTCCAATTTCATAAAAGAAAAAAAATTGCAATGTTCTCAAGAAACAGTAACACATTCAGTTATTCAATGTATTTATCTCTTTAAACAGAAAAAAACCCCACTATATTATCTGTATGAGTGCATAAGAATAGCAGAGTCAATAAACAGCATTTTTTCTTGATATACAAAGTTATTTCAAGAATAAGCGTATCAGCAAAAGATTGCCTTCTAAGAATTTTCTTCCAAAAGATAGGTGAAAGCTATTCAAACTTACAACTCCTGATTAGACTTAACATTATGCAGTCTTCACATAAGGAACAAAGTATAGATGTTTAATAAGGAAAGTATGATCACTACAGCAATAATGGTACTTTGGATATTCACTCATTATAATTTTGCAGATCACAGTCCCTATTATGGTAAAGTACATTTATGACTTCTAACATCAGCTAAATTCAATAATGTTATATCATTTTAATCAGAAGCATAAATGAGTAACAAAATAACACATTTTTCCAGATGACATATATGATCGTAAAGCTCATTCCTCATTAATCATTTTTTTCAAATGGGAATTATTTATGTAGAAGACCTTAGCAGCATATTGTTTTACATCAGCATTGAATAGGATAATATTACAGTTGCTTTTCTTCTTTTGACATCTTACAATACGCAAAGTGAAATTTCTCCAAGGAATAGCTAACAACACTGTGCAGACATTTTTTGGAATTACATGCTTAAGCTGGGGACTGAGAGGCAATCCCACCCTGTCCTTTTTCAGTCTCACCACTTTTACAACTAATTGAAACAAGGAATGTAAAGGGAGGAGTAACAGGGCTGAGCACCATTCATAAAAATATCTAAAAGACACATCTTACCAATTTACAGGTCAGCATAGTGGCATTTTCACAACTACATTCTGACAAGAAAAAGAAAACTGTGTTAATCAGTTAGCTAATTATTAGCTCTGGTTAACAGCACTGACTAATGAATAAAGCTATAATTACCACAGTGCCATTCTGGACAACACTGCCCAAGTATCTTTTCCTTCACAGGTGTCATGTCGTCTGTGCAAATCAGAGGAGGCACGGAACAAAGATTTTCATCACAAACTAAATGGGGGAAAAAGACATGTACGAGAATTTACTCAAACTTCCTTCATATTTTCTAGCTTACACTTCTCACTGTAAACTATTTTTAAAATGATGTTATTTGAAATAAATTTTATTGCATTTCTTAAGCATGAATTAGGTATGAATTATATTTGGAACTCAAAAATAAACAAAGATTTTCAAAAGTTCTTTTAGTTGCCTTAGAACATTTAAATTTTCAGAAAACATCACGCAGGAATCATTTAATATTATTCCTACTTCAGAGTCACTCAAGATTATAACCAGTACCAAAGACAACTAAAATCACAGTCTTTGGAAAACATGGTTGTTTTCCTCTCAGCTACAAATGTACTGCAAAGCACATTTCTGTAACATAACAGGGAGTGATTGCCCTCCTGGGATGACACTAATAAGAAAATACCTGCCTCTCTTATCAGAGTTGGCTTACTGGGACTCTGAAAGAAGATCACTCATGTAGATCTAACTTTCCACCTGCCAGAATCTGACAAAAAAACCAAAACCAATGGCCTTTGCAGATTTTCACTTGGGTAAAAGTGCTAGGAAAAGGAAAGGACCAAAATATGGAAACAACTGAAGTAAAAATTACTAAACTTCAAACTTTGCGGAATTAATTGAAATTACCCTGAGAAGTAAAAATTACTAAACTTCAAACTTAGTGGAATTAATTGAAATTACCCTGCAAGACTGAGATAAGGCAAGACTGCAATAGGACAAGATTTAATCTAAATTAAGCAGTTACACTTGTAGGCATTACTTAAGAACATATAGCATAACTTATGTGTTTTATGAGGCTACAAAAGAGACTGTGTTACACAGTAATATTTTTCTTCTGGTTGCTCTTTGTTTGAATAGCAGTTAGTCCAGCACTATTTGGAACCCTTGGTCTACTCCTTCCCATAAGAGCTAAAAGTGCAAAGAAAATGCCTAAGCATTAATGAGTGGTACAACAGAGGAAAAACTACATGAAAATTGTTTTATTAAATGTGTTTTAATATATGAGGAATTGTATATTTATACTCCAAAGAAGGGATTCAGTTCCACATTAAGATATCAGTATTTAGAGCACTGTGAAAATAACATCTCCAAACTTCATTGACTGGATTCATTAGACCACCACCAACTATATCAAGAACTTTGAATGGACCTCAAATGCAGACACCCTCATTTAGAAGGCTTAGTCTCTTTCTGAAGCCCACCCTAAATATTGAGTAAAAAAACCAACTACACACACACACTGCCTGTCATTTTTAATAAATTTGGTAACATTGAACTGACAACAGTTACACTCACCGCAGTAGTAATGAGGGCAACAGTAATGTATGGTATTAAGGTCTACAGTGAGAATTTCCCCTTCATTACACAAGGGAACAGGCTCAATACAGGATTCACAAACTAAATTTAAAAAAAAAAAGGACAAAACAAAACAACAGACAGTCACAAAGTTTTAGATACTAAAACATTTGCACATGAATTCCGTTTAATGGACTATATAACAAGTAATATTATCATTGTTACTGGGATAACAGAACTTTTATGGACTTTATAGATTAAAAAACTTTAACGCATTTCAAGTATGATGTTCAAGACTATGTTGGAAAGAAAAGATTCCCAAACCCAAGAACAATTATGCTCCAGACAGCCTGATCTGTGTGAAGTCCCACTGTCCTCTCTAAGAATTCCTGGCTTAAGTTATTTTGTTTAGAATTACAGTCTGTTATTGTAAAAACTTAAGTATCCCTTAGTTCCCCATAAAAATATTATATGTGTCTTACTGCAGAGATGAGAGAAACAACAGGGATCTTCCTGTTTTGCCTCAACAATAAATTGATCTTCTCTGCAGTCCAGCTGAGAAGCATTGAAACAAACTGAAGGATCACATTCTGTAGGATGTGAAACAAACACTTTTAAAAGGAGTCACTGAAACAACTCTAAAACAATAAATAAAATATATTCTTCATCTACTTAGTAAAACAAAATACCCCAAACTTCTTGAAAATCAGAAGTTTCACAAACAAAAAATAATATTGGAGAACGTATAAAAAATCATATGTCATTGTTGGCGCTATTTACAGTGCTGTATTCTGTTAACTGTCAAAACAACTTATTAGTCAAATTTTCTTCCAACACGTGATACAAATATGAAAAACATCCCAGTAACTATGGTTTTGCATTTTCTTCCAACACGTGATACAAATATATTAAAAACATCCCAGTAACTATGGTTTTGTATTTGACTTACCACATCGGTACTGTGGACAGCAGGACAAGGGGTGGTAGCCTACCACTACTTTCTCATTGGGTTGGCATGTTGGAATAATGGTGTCACACAACGACATGTTACATTCTGTGGGACGAAAACAATCAATTTTGACATATTTCAACAGATACAAGTGCAAGTCCTATAGCTCCATATATTTATACCATCTAGTATAGTTATCCTCAAACTATGAGCAGACCAAGTCAGCTTAAATTGCACTCCGTACCATCACATAGACTTTCGAGCTCAGTTCAAGCAAGCAGCTATATCCCTCTTAAAACAGGTATTTATTTGCTCTGCTTCCTGTACATGAAGCCAGCTAACATGTCCCAGTGAGAATATTCCCTAAGCAAATTGACTATACAGTGTTGCTTACAGGTATCTAGCACCGTATCAGACAGACCATTTGTTCTCCCTTTCCTTGAAGATACTATGAAGAAGCAAGTGCATTTTGCTTAATGTTTTAGAAGGAATACGTTTCTTTTTACTAACAACCATGGCTAGACAGAATATTAGTATTCAATGATCAGCTCACTGAAAACTGCTTCTGGGAAACAGCAGTAGATCAGAGGATATTGCTTTTCACATAAAGCACTAGTAAGAAAAGCAAATAGGCCCAATGGTTGCCCCAGTTACCAAGGTACTTCCATCACCAAATATATATCAATTTCTTTTTAAATTTCATGCAAGATCTTAAAAAAATAATTTTTAACTGATGTTTTGGTTAATTGGTGGACTTGTAAGAAAAATTTATTTCAGTGAGTCAATTCTTATAAAGGAAAGAAGCTTGCATTGCTGGCCCAACCAACCACAAGTACCTAAAAATTACTTCTGCAAAATGTTACTTTGAGTCCTGTCCAAAGTTTTTCAGCTGCCAGTGAATGTCAATCACTTACCTTATACTTCTGTTATTAAAAACACGTGTGGTACATACCACAAACTTTCTTGGGACAGCAAGCTGTCTCTTCAATGACATGGACGATAACTTCCCCTTCTCTTACACAGACTGGTGATGGATCCTCATCGCATTCAGGTTCTACAGCAATAATGCTTCCATTTTCTAAACAGTGGTACATGCAACAGCCTCTCATGGACCCACTCCAGATCTCCCCAGCCGAGCGGGGCTCTCCTTTGCTATCTGTACATGCTGGGAGAAAACAACATTATATCCTTCAACAGGTAGACACCTCCTATTTCCTGCAAGCAACCCTTAATTGCATAAAATTACTGCATAAAATAAAACAGCTGTGGAGTATTATGATAGAGGAATCCAAGAAGGGGTGATGAACTTAAAAGCCCCAAAGGAACAAGTGCTTCACTATGGGTGAAAATGTGTGAGAGCAAGGGAAAGAACCTGTCCGTACCATTCCTTCCTGAGTACACGAGGAAGGAAAGCCTGGTAAGTCATGGAAGAATGGACATCACTTCTCCCCAGCAGAAAGAAGTACATTAGCACTGGGTCTTGAATCCAAATGAACTGAAAGCACAAACTGCTGTAGCTTGAGACAAAGCTAGGGTCTGTTGAAGGGACCTGTACCAGATTCACACTTACCGTGGACTGACACAGAACTTAAACTTATCTCTTACACTGAACTGTGGTTAATATTATCATATCTGCAAAACTACTCTGTCCTGCTGTACTTACTACATTTTTCTTCTGGTATACAGAGGTCAGAGTCCGTTCTATGCAGAATGGTGCCATTTTTACACACACAGTCTTCCCTTAAATAGGAACAGGGAGAATCTTCATAGAACCATTTATTCAAGCATGTCTTAGCTTCACAGGGTTGCACACAAGGCTGGTATTCCTTACCCTCAGGACAACTCAATGCTGCAGGGAATTAAAACAGGA